GATATCTTCGGATCACGGGGTTTATCCCGTATACTGTATTCACTTCGTGTACAAAAGAACCGAGAGAACTGCGGATAAACGATGGGGTTTTCCCGTCCGTCGGTGGCCAATGACATGGGATTAAATGAACACGCTCTTCTGACGCTTCTCTAACACATTGAGGCACAGCACGTTCGAAGTTATGACCCAGATAATGGGCTTGGTAAACTAGCACAAGATACGTGAAAGATAACAAGACCAACTTGAAGAATTTTTAAGGTAAAATTAAAAATGTCACTGCTGTGTTCTACAATACAGGCTCACAAATCCTAATAATTTTGAGAGGGTTCAGTGAAAAGGTGCATGTCAAATGTATTACAGGAAACAGGCAAAATCCGAAGGATTGCTTGTATATGTACAACCAAAATTCTAGACCGACGCTTTGGATTTTCCCAAATGATCTAAATCTGATCCCAGTCTTCATTTTTAAAATGAATTGTCACTGTTCCGTAAAGCATACCTCCACCTCAATGAAATTTTAAAAAATGAGGGATAACGTGAATGTCATTTGCAGTACTAAGGACATCAAGGAAAAGAAATCCCATTCCAGCATCTGAGTGTTCGGTTTCTGCTTGCAAAAAAACATTTGATTAAAATTCCGTAAAAATCTTGGAACGCGTTTGAGCATGGCATTGATACTGTATCGAATCCATCGCAGAGCAGCAAGCGCCTTGGCGTGATGCCAAAATACAGATGCATTGCTCACTCATTTTCTGACTACTCCATTATCGCAAGCACTGTAGGTTATAGTGAGTTTCGTCACCATAAGATACTGTACCCCTGTAACTAAATCGCGCACCGAGTTCTTTCATGCTTGATATCATCTTTGTTCTTCGAACTGGTTGGATATATGAGTCCTCCAAGGTATAAAAAATAACGGCTACGAAGACAATCGACGGAGGATAAACCGATTGTTAGCTAATGTTGACGAGTTCCACGGGTTTCTTTTTTCTACTTAGAATGATAGCAGAGTTTCTACCATAAATGAACCAAGTTGTTTACCGAATTCAGTGGAAAATTTGCGTTGCTTAGACTTGGATTTTTTCAATTTCGCAATGCCTCAACAAATTTAGTGTCGATTACAAGACGAGTCCGGATTTAACGACTGTAGAACAAATCAGACAATGATTTGACTGAACAATCGAATAGTGCAAGATTCAATTTGATTGGTGCATTAATGTTTCATTTTCGTATGCTCAATTATAACTTTAAATACGCATTTTTGGTTATGATCATTCAAGTAGTTGTCCTCCAGTTGTGTCCTGTTGAGGGCTGAACAAGAGGCGTCTGTTTCGATCGTACGTTTTGCTGTCTTATGACGACACCAAATGTGCAACCAATATTCAGGAAGACGGCCGTGGTCGATCGAAGGCCACCAAACAAGAGATAGGAAAGTAGGGTAACGATGGTGGGGTTGGAACCCATGGTCTGGAAGGGAACGGACCAACTTCCTACCACTTGATCGTAATCACACACACACACACACACACCCGTTATTAGTTTGTGTTCTTTTTGCATTCAAGTCGCTTAGATCAACTTTCTCTACTGCTGTGCTGCTATTCGGACAATGATGGCGAGAATGAATCTGCGGTGAATGCACAGCGAGTCACCTGACTCCAACCAAGTCGTCAATTCAGTTGAATGAGTTAAGAACTTCACACTTTATGTAATCTAATGATTTTGGGAATGTGTCGGAAAGGTGTGCTTATTATTCCTTAGGTCGTGGGTGCTTAGTACTGCCACTGGTTATCAAACAATCGCTAAAGGTGACTGAGCGATGTCTGGTAACCATTAAACGACCACCAATAGCTACCAAATTACAGAAAAACCTGTGGATACGCGTGGATGGGTGGTAGATACACCAACGCCTTTGGTTGCGACTCTCAGCCAAGTAACAGTATAACTAACCACTGATCAGGAGACGGCTAATCAGGTCTAACACGACTTATGTGATGAATTCCTCTGGTCAATGTATGTATTACTTCAGTTCAGATCATATACTGATCACCACTATGCTTCTTTCCCCAAATACATCCTACAAAAGACATTGAACACTAAGGAAAACTATCCGGGGAAAAGCGTGCACCAATAGCCGTCATCTACGAAAGTTCGGTGTTTGTGTCAGTGTGCGAAAATGACCAGCTGGTTACAACCTCAACATTGCTTTTCCAGTTGTTCCACCAGACTCCTATGGTGCGCCGTAGAGAATACTGTTTGAACACCGACAGTTCGCATTTTCCCTCTATTCGTGTATCTGCACCATTAGAACTACTGTGGTGTACAGTAGACCGTGAACGGATGACGGATGTCGCGGTGTTGTCCACGCTTTTCAATTTGAAAAACGCTAGTCGAGTCCCAAAGCTTTCTCTGTTAGCTAGAAAGTACGATGCGGTTGACTGATTGATGATCACTTTCAAATAAAGAAGCAGCGATGAAAAGTCTACGGAAGGAATATTTGTGTTACGTGATTGGATGAGGGGTGGATATACGATCAATGCACATGTGGAATATAAGAGTACGATAACAGCGATAATCTTTGGGAGGAGGGGCGGTAACCAAACTAAGGCCTCCTGTGACCTTCATAAAGGGATCTATTTCCGATCTAGGAAAACGAAAGAATAACGACTTTACGTCAATGATACCAAAATTATTCCATTTTCTTTAACGAACTCATGAGCAACCTCTTTAGTGGGTTAATTCTAACTGGTATCACTGGTGCATTTGAGACAAACGTCGACGAATCTCATGTCAAGCGAATATCACTTTAGCTGGAAATGCTTTGCCCATTGTTCAAAACGGCGTCACTCAATATGTTCTTGGACTCTTGATTCATTGGGTACTCTTGCTTCTGGAGACCGGCACCGCAGTTTAGACCGAAACCACTACGACTGCTGACAAAAGTAACGTGTTTGTCATAGACAATTAATAGCGTTCATCGCCGAAAATAATAGCCCAATACCAAGTGTTAGGTTGCACAATAGCATCAACTAATAGCCTTGTTTGAAAACACAATCCACTTCGAAGGGTCCTACAGCAGCATCGTGAATAACTCCGTAAACCGAATGCAGTGTTGAATAAATAATCTTTTAGAAGCGTACCTCATCTTTATCGGCCAGCGCTCGGATCCACAACGGCCGACTGAGACGGAATCGCGTTCGGTTAGCTGGGGCCGTCTCCCCATTCAGGGACCCGGTGGCATCTATGGGAATTAGTTCAGCTGTACTATCCAACTGCACTGGACCATCTTGTAGATCGCATCGATAGTCATTAGGTGACAGTTGTGCGACTGTGGTGAAGCGAGATTTAGTGCTCTGAGATTCGCCAGCCTGGTTTGAATTGGTGTCTTTGAATAGAGGTGAAACACGATAGTCGTTCACCACTTTGGGTACACGAGCTGGGACGTCTGTGGGAGACAGCGGTCCGGGTGCTTTTGCGTTCAAACGATGTACAATTCGATAAAGTCCAATGCCTGTTTCCAATGGTACAGGCAAACCGAGTTTACGCAGTTCCAGCTGCAGATCGATCGAATGTCGCAGACCCAGAATCACTAGGTAAATGAGAAAAAACATTGCACGAAAAAGGCTGAACACAGAAAATGATAATGGAAGAGTTGGCATACGACCACATGCATCAACAGTTGCTATTAACCGAGGCAAAC